CCCCCATTCCTCGTCTCTCCCGCAAAACTTACATCCGGACTGTTGAGACTCAGATAAGCGGTCCCACCGATCGGGAACGTCCGCGACCGCGTGAGCTCCTTGTAGATCTCGTCGATCTTATCCGAGATGTGCTGATACGCGCGGTAGAACAAGTCGTACCTGCGGGTGGGCGTCAAGTGAGTACGGGGCGCAAGAGCAAACAAAAAAAGATAGGAAGACGTCCACTCAGCCTTACCGCTGCTGCTTTACGGCGTTGAACTTGTCCTTAGCGGTGCGCGCCTCCCTGCGCGCGGCGTCAAACTCTTCAGCGGTAGCTCTCAGCTTGTTCTCGACTTCATCTAAGCTGGTAGTGGTGAATAATCCGGGGTTATCAGAAACGGGAACGTTCGAGTGTTTCCCAATCTATCAACCACGTCCGTCGTACCAGCCCACCCCCGCTCACAAACAAATGGCACGCACCGATCCACAGCGCGCATATTGGGCGCCATTCTGTCGATCTCGGCCGAGAGCGCCGTGATCGCGTCGGTGAGCTCAAGCTCTATACGGTCGGATCGGTCCTCGCGGAGATTATCGTCGAGCGAGGAGAAGTCCACGGCGATGCGCTGGAGCCGCGCCCTCGTTTGAGACTGCGTCGATGTTGGCTCCGCGGAATCGAAATCCATCGCGTCGGGGTCGGTTGCTTCCGAGCGCTGTATCGGTGGAGGGGAGGGACGTAATCGCCGGGAGGGGATTAATTGTGGAGCAAGCGCGTGATTCAAAGGAACGGGAGAATAGTCGATCCCACGCCTACCTCCATCTCATCGAGCACCAGATTGTCAAGCGACGCGCCGCTCAGCAGCGGTAGCTCAATCTCCTCAAGCTTGCATCGCCGCAAGATAGAAAACTTCTCCGCGCAATGTTTATCAATCTCGGATTCCTATCGGCACGGATAGTAGCAGGAGAGCAAGGTCTGAGTTTACGTTCACGTCGTCAAGACCCTCCCCAATGCCCCGATCCAACACGTTTATCCGCACAACCACTACCCACCTTTGCTGCAACCGCCTTAGCAACGGCATCCCACTCCTTCCCGACCCTCGCGACCTCCTTCAACGCATTGCTGACAGCCGCAGCCCGCTCCTTGCCCTCGTCACGCACGGCATCTAGCTTAGCTCCCATTTCCTCGATTTCCTTCTGACGGGCCTCGGCATCCGCCTCGAGGACGGCGAGGGAGTCGGCAAGCCCCTCAAGGGTGTCCGCGTCCGACGCGATCGCAGCCTTAAGCGTTTCCAGGCGCGCAGTCGTTTGTGCGTGCTTCTGGGTTTCAAAGTCGTGCCTAGAGTTGTTCCGGTAAGAACATACAGTGAGCGAGTTCCTTTGACTATATAAATAAGAAAATGCTCAATTGTGCCCAACGCCCCACACTCAACTGGCTATCGAGGGTAGCGATGTGGGTGGTAATCTCCACTCTGCGATCCGCATCCTCCTGCGAAGCCTTGAGCTGAGTGCGCTCATAATCCTCGATCGTGTCGACACCGATGCGCTTGCAGAAGGAGGCAAAGACGGAGCGTTCGCAGGCGCGGATGGCGTCGGTCGCACGAGCGATCGCAGCCTTGCAGGTCTCTAGCGCTGCGTTGGTCTTTCGGGGGGGGGGGGGGGGGGGGGGGGGATGACGCAAAAAATTCATAATCAAA